TCTCTGGACCCCTCCATGGCCACAGCCTCAAACTGTCCTGACAGCTGGGCCCCCATGAGAACTCTGAGGGCCACAGGCAGTGCCCCTCGTCCCCGTCTGTGGCAAAGGCTCCCAGCAGTACACACCAGTAAGGAGTGACTGGGGCTGGAGCCCAGAGCCCCCGGCTTCCCGCCATGGGAGGGCCCTGGGGCATCGGCAGAGCTCCACACAGAGGGGAGCCCCCCCACACCCCCAAGTGCCAGCACCACCAAGGCCTGGGTGCCAGCCCAACACCAGGGGAAATGGGGCCAGCCCGAGGCCCCCCAATGGAGGACACCAAGTGGGGGCACGCCGAGGACGAGACCCCGTCCCTAAGGCGGGTCCACGCCTCACACTAAGGAGGGTGATGCTCTAGACTGAGGGACTCGAAGACCTGGACCCCGAACTCCATCCTGCCCCATCCTGACTTAAGCGCCCACTGCCAAGAGGGCCCCTGGGCCATTCCACGCAGAGGCCAGGCCCTGGGCGTCGGGCTGCCCCGGCGGGCTGACACGGGAGACCTGACGCTGGTGACCGTTCCTCTGAGGTCTCTCAAAGAGCAAAGGAAAAAATGTTGCCCGTTGCTAATTTGTTTTATTTTCCCTGGAGAGCCATTTCTACTCCGTTTTTTCCCCAATCATGTTCAAAACAAACAGCTGCTGTGTCACTTCCTGCGAACCGGGGCTCGGGAAGTGGCCGTCCCGCGGCCCCGGAGCTGACGGCTGCAGGCCACGTTTCCAAAGACGCGCTGTGGCAGCCTTCATCCGGCCCGGTGAGGTGGGCAGAGAGGCCCAGGGCCGCCGCGGGGCTCCGCTCGCAATACTCGCACCTCTGAACAAGCGGACTCAGACGGGAACCGGTTTTGATGGGAAAAATTAGAATAAGTGTTAATACTCTATTTTCTTTGTTCAGAACATCAGAGAGGGCCTCTCTGTCACAAAGACTATTTAACAGGGCCTCCCCGGTGGCGCAGCGATTGAGCGCTGGGTTGTGAAGCTGCCCGCAGCCTCTGCAGTGCCGGTTCGATCCCCGGCCCTCTGGGTGAGGGTCCCACATGGCGCGCAGACCTCTCCTGCCGCCCGCTGCTCCCCTCAGCAGTGTCCTTCGGTCCTTCTGCCTGCTCTGCTCCCCGCTCTGGCTCTGGTGAATTCTCTCACCCTCCCGCGCTTCTGACTGTACCCAGTGCTTGTATAAATAAATAAATAAATCTTTAAAAAATTAAAAAAAAAAAAAGTGCTATGAGAGCACGTCCACGGCCGGGGCGGACCTCGCGGCAGAAAGGCCTGCCCGTGTGCCCAGGGCTTCCCCACAGACATGCTCCTGGTCCCCAGCTGCCCCCTCCCACGTCCATCCAGCACTGCCCGGGAAATGGACCAAGCCCCTGGTGTCCCCTGGACCCTGCTCATTCAGAGGTGTCCAGATCAAGACCTCCCCGCCCCACCCCCATGGGCCCCACTTATTGCTCTCAACCAGGATCAAAGCCACTTTGCCCTTCCACCACCCCGCGGGCCCACTCAGGCCTCTCCAAACCCAAGCTCTCTGTGGCATCAGGTTCTGGTTTCCTGCTCTTAAAATGGTCATCATTCTGAGAACAGCTTCATCATTACTCCCCCAATCCTCCCAGTTACAGGGAGGAGACTAAGGTGTTAAGGGAGAGCCTCCCCTGGGGCCTTGGGTTCCGTCTCAGGCTGTCACTGCCATGGCCTGAGTTCTATCCCCAGCCAGGGAGTCAACCCACAGGGCGCAGCAGACCTCTCCTGTCTCCCCACTGCTCCCCTCAACAATGTGTTTCAGTGGATCTGCCTGCTCTGCTCCCCACTCTGTCTCTGGGGAGTCCTCTCACCCCCCACACCGCTGGCCTGTACCCCAGATCTTGTATGCATAAATAAATATTTAAAAATAAATAAATAAAATAAGTCATGCAGGCGTCAGAGCAGGCTTTTCTCCCCCTCCGCTTTTCTCCCCCCCTCGCTTTTCTCCCAGCCCCCCGCTTTGTTGAGCACAGCTGAGGGTTCAGAGTCTTCCATTTCCCACTCATGACGCTAAGGAGAAGAGAAACGTTGCAACGCCATCCCCAAGCAGGGGGTGTCTGCAGGGGCAGGGGCCATGCCCACTGGGGGGGGGGTTTGGCGGGGGGGGGGGGTTGAGACCCCGGGAGCCCAGGAGCTGCTCCTTCCTGCGTGAGTTTTCTCAGCTCCAGGTTCCCAAGGAAAAAAGGAACGCGCTCCCAGCCGGCCCACGGAGAGAGCCGCCCAGGGCTCGTGGCCAGAGCTCCGCCCGTCCCTTCCATGGACACGTGACAGAATTCTCACACATTTCTTGGCCTTTGTGAACAAAGTCTGCTGCGGTCCCTGAGTCACTGAAGACAGGTGCACCCAAGCTGCGGGGAGGAGACAGGAGGCGGAATTGAGAAATCGGCCCTTCCAATGGGCGTTAACGGCTCCGTGGACACCAGGGTCATCAGGAAGTGGAGAACGAGACCAGGCTGTCGTGGACAAGGCTATCTCCATCAAACAGACTGTGAAGTGGGCCTCCCTGGTGGCACACAGGGTTAAGACGCAGCACTCCCAAGCAATCCTCAGCCTCTGCTGCACGAGTTCGATCCCCGTCCAGCCCGGGAGCAACCCACATGGTGCAGCGGACCTCTTCTGTCTCCCCGCGGCTCTCCTCAGCAGTGTATTTCAGTCAGTCTGCCTGTTCTGCTCCCCACTCTGTCTCTGGTGAATCTTCTCACCCTCCCATAACTCTAGCCTGCACCCCAGCTCTTGTGTACATAAATAAATGAAGCTTTAAAAAATTAAAATAAAAAAAAAAAAACTGTGAAGTTCCTTCCAGAGCTTGCATGTAACAACAGGCTGGAGGACAGAGCGGTGGCAGGCTGGCACCCTGGGATGGAAAACCCGGACAACGGGGCGTTTCCACGGTGCGGTCCAGGAGCACACAGACCGGGAGAGGCCCCGCTGCACCCTGAGGCCGCGCCCCTCGTCTTACAGACCTCGGCAAGTTACTTGCATGGTGACTTAAGCTTCAGAAACTGTGATGTGTGCGTCAGGCCGTACGGCCGCGATGTTGAGGAAGGACCAACGTGACCGGGCAGGCGGGCAGCACCAGGGCCACCCGAGATGCGGCCCTCTCTCGAGCTGCACAGTGACCAGGCCGAGCAGCCAGGCCAGGGGTCAGGTCCAGGGCTCTGTGACACCAACATGCAATCAGCCAGGCAGCTGGAGGGATGGGCCATGCAGCTGAGGCCACTGCCTGCTGGCTGCAGAGGGCGGTAGGCACTTCGTGGAGAACAATCTTCCCCAGGACAGGAATGGGGCACTTCACACAGGGACCTCACTCCACACAGCCTGGAGCCAAGTACGCCCCAGCTAGGCCTAGCGCAAGGGGTTCACCTCCTCAGTGGGCACCACCGGGAGCCCAGGCCCCGGGTCTGAGGGGGACAAGGACAGTCCTGGGAGGCCATTTTAGACGGGTCTTGTCTATACTGCTTGGTGACTGGCCTCGGTTAGGGAGTTTGACACTGTAGGGGCAGGACTGGCCACTGAGCAGGTTTTCTAGGATCCAGCAGACCGGGTAAAGCAGGAGTCAGAGCCCTCAGTGGCTTTTTGCAGGCTTTTATTGGGGTTTACCAGGTACACAGCAGGCAGGGGTGCTGGGGGGCCGGGAGGCTGGCAGGCCTCCCAGCCCCCAGCAAGTCTCCACTCTCTCTGGGCTCTCCGGCCTTCTCTCTTTCTACCTCGGCTTCTCTTTTGGCGTCTACTGGCGTCCCAGTGACGCCGCCCTTACAAGCCCAGTCTCAGCCCAGGTGAACCCCATCTCCCTAGGCCCACACCCCTCTCCAGGTGCCGCCATCAGACATGCGTTCAGGACCGCAGGATCCGTCATCTATCCTGATGGCGGGAGGGCAGGAAAGCCTGACGTTTTTTCCTTACCCTACAGACACCAAGCGCATGGAGCCCCATGGATCACATCTGAGATGTTGGGGTGAAGCCTCCAACATGTAAACGGGGGGCAGGGCACAATCAGCCCATGTTGGGTAAGGTAAAAAATTACCAGGCTTTTCTGCGCTCCCGCCATTGAGATTGACGATGGATCTGCAGTTCTGCATGCGTGCCTGAGGGTGGCACCTGGAGTGGGGTGTGGGCCTGCGTGAGTGGGTTCACCTGGGCTGAGACTGGGCTTATAAGGGCGGTGTCATGGGGATGCCTGGTGACCGCACAGGTCCAGCGGCTGAGACTTCCCCCGGCTCCGAGGCCCCGAGGTGCAGGCCAAGGGGCGCGCCTGCCGTGGGCTCCTGCCCCTCCCGGCGTCTCGCCCTTGGCGAGGTGGAAGAGCGGAACAGAAGAGCAGACAAAAGAGAGAAGAGGCCGGAACAGCAGAGCGAAAGGAGCAGAGAACAAGGCCACAAGAGAACGCCGGGGAGCCCAGAGTGAGGACTTGCTGGGGGCTGGGAGGCCTGCCCCCACCCCCGCCCCCGCCGTGTGCCTGGTAAATCCCAATAAAAGCCTGCAGAAGCCACCGGGGGCTCCAAGCACAACCCCTTCACCCGTCTGCTCGGGTCACAGAGAGCCTGCTCCGGCCCTTCCTGCCGCGACAGCCCATAACATAGATGTTGGAGCTTTAAAAAGGCAAACATAGTCTCGGGGCCCCGGGAGCTCAGGGTGCGGGAAGCGTGCACACAGGAACCCCCAAGGCCCAGCCAGCAGCCCTGCCCCTTGCCCAAAACCGCTGCGGAGAAACCCCAGCCAGGTGCACGAACAAGCCCCGTGCGGTCACACACGTGCGCACAGAGCGCGGGCGGCGGCCACCCTGGCAGCGGTGGGGCTGAGGCCGGGACCAGCACCGCCCGGGAGGTGAACGCCAGGGGCAGCCAGAGCAGCGTCGGATGTGTGGGCTCCCAGCCAGACCCCTGACCCCGTTGGGCCCCCCAAGAAGCCCCCCGCCGTCGGGCCCCCAGCTCCCGCCAACAGGCACCGTTCTTGTAAACAGCTGACCCAGATTCTCGGCTTGAACGAGGACGTTTCCCGGGCAGTTGAGGGTTTACAGGACGAATTTAATCAGCAATAGTCGCGCCTCGGATAAACCTCATTGGCTACGATGCTGCCACTGCGCCCAGCTACAGGGTGAATTTCAATGCTGCTTGGAAGCTGGGGAGCAGACGGCACCCTCCACAGTGGAAACTGGGCCCCGTGTCCTGAGCCACAGCCCCCTTCCCAGCTTGCGGCTGACTCCCCCAAAACGCCGCATTCAAATTTTAAGTCACCCACGTTGTAGGGTAAAGTGTCAGGCTCCTCTGCCCTCTCGCCTTCAGAGTAAACGCGTGCCTGAGGGCGGGCCTGGAGGGGGTGTGGGCTCGGGGAGGTGGGTTCCCCTGGGCTGAGGCTGGGCTTACAAGGGCAGCGTCTTGGGACCCAGCGGAGCGGTAGAGAGCGCGGCAGGGAGCCAGGCGAACAAGCGAGTGAAAGAGGAGCAGCGGCCACGAGGGAAGCCGGAGAGCCCAGAGAGAGGGAAGATTCGCCTCCAGGCCCCCCGCACCCCTGCCTGCCCGGCCCGGGTCAATCCCAATAAAATCCCTGAGAAAGCCAGGAGCGCCAGCACGCTCCTTCACCCATCGCTCGGGTCCCAGAAGCCTGCCCTGGGGCCTCCTGCCACGGCGCATTCTTTCCCAGGCTTGTGGCCAGGCTGCCCTCTCCCCGGGGACCCGCAGGCCAGCAGCAGACTCACTCTCCGCGAACCCCGAAACCCAGCGCCCAGTGGGGGCAGACACCGAGGCAAAGGGCGAGGGGCGGGAGGCACCTCGGGGCCTCAGAGTGGGGCGAGCAGGGGGACGCCCAGACAAGCAGCCATCAGAGGACACCACCGGGCAGAGGAGACCCAAAAAGCGGTAGAGAGAATGTGGGGCGGGACTGGCCACAGGGCAGGTTTTCCAGGATCCAGCAGACCGGGTGAAGGAGGAGTCAGAGCCCTCAGTGGTTTTGCAGGTTTTATTGGGATTGACCAGGTACACGGCAGGCAGGGGCGCTGGGGGGCCGGCAGGCTGGCAGGCCTCCCAGCCCCCAGCAAGTCTCCACTCTGGGCTCTCCGGCCTTCTCTCGGCTTCTGCTTCTCTTGCTTCTCTTTCGGCTTCTGCTGGCGTCCCCGTGACGCCGCCCTTAAAAGCCCAGTCTCAGCCCAGGTGAACCCCATCTCCCTAGGCCCACACCCCACTCCAGGTGCCGCCATCAGGCATGCACTCAGGACCGCAGGGTCCGTCATCTCTCCTGATGGCAGGAGGGCAGAAAAGCCTGACTTTTTTCCTTACCCGACAGAGAAATATCCCAACGGAAGCGGGAATCAGCTTCCCAGGTCTAGAAAGACAGGCCTGTGCCTGAAAGGCAGGATGACAGGACGACCAAGGCCCGCACGGCCGCCTGCTGACGGGGAAAGCAGATCTGGCAGCGGGACTGCAGAGCCGAGGAGCCCGCGGGAGCCCCACGGACCCCGGAGATCGTGGCGCCGCGCCCCGCACCCGGCAAGGGACGTGGACAGGCATGAAACGCAGAAAGGACGGCTCCAGCTCAAACGGCGGGACAGGCCGTGGGACAGGCCATTCGCAGCAACATGGACGGAGCTGGGAGGGATCACGCTCAGCGAGATACACCAGAAGGAAAAAGAAAAATATCAGATGGTTTCGCTCGTAGGAGGAACATAGGGGAACCAAATACGGGATCGGGGAGAACAACAACGAGGACACCAGACCAGCCGGCAGCCACGAGGCAGAGCCTCCTGCGAGGGAGGGGAAAGCTCAGGGCCCGGGGGGTCCGCTCCCGGGGGGATCGGTGGCGGGGGTTTTACAGGAGCACATGGTGATGGAAAAGATATTAAAAAATGAATTAAAAAAAAAGAACTTCATAAAAGAGCAAATTTGAAGGACAGATGGGGAAAAAAGAAAAAGCGGGACAAGCTCGCCCACCAGAGGCGGCCGGCGCGTCCCAGCGAACCAAGAGCGACGGTGAAGAAAATGGATAAATCGACCAGCAAAAGGACAAACACCAATTCATGGGTTTTTTAAAAAAAATCAAGACAGATGCTATTTGCCAACGACATGCAAACCTAAGGCCGCGCACAGGGTGACCATGCACTCCGGCCCGAGGAAGCCACCCGCACCAGCCAGGCAGGCAGCCTGTAGCCAGAGAGGAGGTCCTCCTGACCAGCACGGTGCCGCGACGCTGACCACACCCTCCTGTTGAAGCAGCCTGGGCCCGTGGGGTGGGGAGCACTGGACAGGAGCCAAGGGACGCCCCATCCCGAGCAGGATGGCCACAGCCGGCCACAGCAGGCCACAGAAACAAGGTTAGCTGCGGCCAAGGGGCCTTGCAGTGCCCGCAGGGCCTCCCCCCTCATTCCCAGGGCCACACCTCCATACTTCAGAGTCCCCCACGGAGTAGAGAGGCCTGCAGGGGCTGGCCAGGAGGTGCCAGTGCCTGGTCCTGGGCCAACATTTAGGGGACACCATGCAAAAGCAGCTAGAGAGCAGCTCAAAGTCCTGCCGGGACACCTGTGCCTCCGCCTGCCATCTGATGTGCCACCTACCCAGGCCACTGCTCCCGAGGGTCACTGTTCAGAGCCCCAGAATGCCCTCCTCAGCGTGCGCCCCTCTGTGGAGCGAGCTGTGGCACCCCTACCGTCATCCTGGTGACACCACTTCTCAAGCCTGCAGCCCTGCCCACCCCACTCTGTTCATCCGGCCACTTCCTGCTCAGAAGTTAGGCTTCGTGTAATGGTCATTTTCCTGACCCCCTAGGCCAGCCCCTGGGCTTCCCTTTTCACTGCCCATCGTGCCCATCTGGCCTCCTGTTGGCCTCTGTCCACCATGCCCATCTGTCTGCATGTAGCCACGTCTGTCTAGCCCATCACGGCATCTCAGGTGCCTGCAAAGGGGGTGCCAGAGGCTGTTAAATATTGCACCGCAAGCATCTGGTCCCACCTTCCTTCCCAGCAGCCCCCTCAGCCTGGCCTGTAGCCCACCGAGCTAAATGCAAGCTGTGCTTTTGCTCACCTCCCTGGGTTCTCGGTTTCAGAGTTGGCGTCAAAGCCAACGTCCCTCCTCCTCCCTCTGCCCAGGCCAAGCGAAGCCAGGCACTGATCACCTTCCCACACCGACCCCGCTGCACCCAGTGCCTCTGAGCCAGTCTCTGCGCCGGGGCCATGGCATCAGGGTCGATCTGGAGGTGCAGGGCCTGGCGCCAGGGCGGGGAGGTTCTCGAGCCTGTGGTTGGATGAACAGAAAGTTGTGACTTTGTCCTCCATGAGCCTCACGCCAAGAAAATCACCTCCCCCGCCCCCAAGAGAAGAGCTGTGTGTGGGATGCATCCCAGGTGCCTGCACTGGGGAGGCATCACTGACACTGACACTGGTCACCCTGGAACCAGCACAGCCCCAGACACCAAGCCCACAGGGTTCTGACCCAGGAGACCAGCCGCCGGCCGGGAGGACAGGCGTGGGGCCCCTCGGCTTGCTGCCTTTGGAGGTCAGAGGGGCAGAGCCCCTGCCCGTTCCGGGGCATGACACTTAGGAACCAGACTTCAGCTGCAGAGGTCTGGCTCTGACCCTGCGCAGCTTGTGTTGTCATGTTGGGGGTGGGTGGGCTGTCTCCAGAGGAAGGGCAGGCAGGGGAGCCCCATGAAGACAGTCCTAAAGGGGAAGGGTGCAAGCTTGCTCCACCCAGGGCCCGGCCAGAGCTGGAGAGGGCCTGGGCAGGAGCACCAGACACTGGGGCACAGGAGGCCTTGGGGCCACCAAGCGGCAGGGGTGCAGGCACCCGGGCCACCGAGTTCTGCTTGCCATGAGCACCGCGCGGTTGCGTTGTGTTCCTTGGCTTTAAAAAAGAAAGTAAGGGCCTCCCCGGTGGCCCAGAGGTGAGTCTCAGGCTATCACACCGCGGCCTGAGTTCGATCCCCGGCCAGGGAACTGACCCACAGGGTGCAGCAGACCTCTTCTGGCTCCCCGCTGCTCCCCTCAGCAGTGTGTTTCAGTGGATCCACCTGCTCTGCTCCCCACTCTGTCTCTGGGGAGTCCTCTCACCCCCCCACACCTCTGGCCTGCACCCCAGTTCTTGTATGCATAAATCTTTAAAAATAAATGATAATAAAAAAGAAAGTGGCCGAGGAGGGGACTCACGAAGGCCTCCGACAGGGGTCTGCGAACACCTTGGGGAATCCAAGGTGGGTGCAGAAAGAGCCAGGTGCTCCTGAGTAAGAGGCCAGGCCCAGGGGAGTCTCCTGAGAGGCTCCCTGCTCCAGACAAACCTCCAAGTCAATCACCTGGACATTGTGGACCCTCATCAGCCCCAGTCCCGTGAGTCACTCAGGTCTTCGCATCTGCACCTGCCCCACTCAAGCCACGCATGGTCCAGACGCGCCACCTTCCCCAGCAGTTCTGGAACCCTCCCGAACCTGGACGGGTTCCCTCCCACCCGGCATGCGCCAGGGCCTCCAGCAGCACCCGCCTGATGCCCAATCTGCCCAGGTGGCCCCACCACCCCCATGTCACTGCTGAGAAGCAGGGTGCAGCAGAGCCCACATGCAGGGGCGACAGGGGTGAGCCTCGGCGCCTCTTGCTGCGACCTGTCACCAGACCCAGCTGGGCAGCGCTGGCCACCAGGGAGTACGAGCACAGGCATAGCTGACCCGGCCGCTCCACCCACCCGGCCCCTCCACCGGGCTCCACGTCCACCAGGCTCCTGTGCATAGCGTGACACGGAGCGCCAAGCCCGAGGCGAAGCAGGACGCGGGGCTAAAGTGCAGGTTGGCGCTGGGTGTCCCGCCCTGTGGGGCCCGGGAGGGCGCCCAGCCAGCTCCGGGCATGCCCTGGCCTTTCGGCTCCACTTTGCTGAGCACTTACGAGAACGCTCGGACGCAAAACTAATTCAAACAAACACGCCTTGTCCCCATGGATGTGGCCCGGCCGCACCTCCGCGTGGAGAGTGACGGTGCTTTGCCCGCTGCGCTTTGTCTAGCCCCGCTTTCTCCCCGGAGCTGCCCTCTGTTCTGCTCTGTCATGTAGGCGAAGACATGCCCCTCCCAGGAGTTCGGGTTTGCTTGGGACTGAAGGGGGTCCCTGCACAAGGGACTTCTGGG